TATTCGTGTAACGAGCGTTACGACGTTCAAGAGACTGGATTCTTTTTAGCGCAAATAGAGTGCGGAAATTATTGTATAAACGATGCGACTGCGTATGCTAGCGACACTCGTAAAATAGACTGGATATTGGATAGTGGATGTTCAGATCACATAGTAAATGATGATTCTTATTTTTCTGAGTGTCTAAATTTGACAAAACCGATTAATGTAAAAGTTGGTGACGGCCGAGTTTTGAAAGGAATAAAGGTTGGTAAAGTAGTGACGTCCTTTGTAGTAAACAAAACTAGAACTGAAATAACAATGTCCAATGTATTTTACGTAAAAGAAATGGATAAAAATTTAATTAGTTATGCCAGAGTAACCGATGAAAATAAAATTTTTTCTGAAGGAAATACATCAAAAATTTATAACAAAAGAAATAATTTGATAGCAATAGCGCACAAGGAGTTTGGCTTATATAAAATAAGTAGTTATATAGAAGGAAAAGAGTCTCATGTTAAAACAGTCGAGAAAATGACTCAAAAGGAGAAATTTCACAAAATGTTAGGACACATAAATTTTAACTATTTAAATGCTATGTGTAAAAATAAGTTAGTGGAAGGAATGCCAGAAAATTTTGAACAAGTGTTCTTAAAATGTGGAACTTGCATTCAAAATAAAATGCACAATCAACCTTTCCAGAATAAACGTAGTGGTACAAAAGAAATTTTAGAGTTGGTACATACAGACTTAAACGGGCCCCATTCTAACACTGGGTATGATAGTGCAAAATATTTTTTGATCTTTATAGATGATTATAGTAAATGTGCATTGATCTATACGTTAAAATCAAAGGATGAAGTCTATAAATGTTTCGTGGACTACATAAATAAAGTTGAAAATTTTACTGGCAAAAAGATCAAAAGACTAAGGTGTGATAACGGTAAAGAATACATGAACAAAGATATGTACAATTTAGTAAGCGAAAAGGGGATTTTGGTAGAAGCATGCCCACCATATGTTCATGAACTGAACGGAACTGCGGAGCGATATAATAGAACCATTATGAATTCAGCTAGGTGTTTGCTTTCTGATTCAAAATTAAATATTAGATACTGGCCTGAAATAGTAAAGGCCGCAGCATATTTGAAAAATAGAATAATTACGAACACGTATGAATATAAGACTCCGTTTGAAATATTTTTTAGAAAAAAACCAAATATTAGTAACTTAAAATTATACGGAAGTAAAGTTTTTATAAGAGTACCGGAAGTCAAAAGAAATTCCAAATGGGATAGGAAAGCTGACGTTGGTATACTTGTAGGTTACGAACAATTTGGATACAGAGTTTTAATCAATAACAAGATAATTGTTGCAAGACATGTGGATTTTGTAAACGAAAATGAAAATTTAATAGGATTCAAAGGTGAAGATGAAAGTGATGACGAATTGGTAAAAGACGTTGATGAAAACTCTGAACCAAATGAAACTAGTGGAGAAGAGATAGAAATTGAGAAACTTAGAAAGTTAAGTAATAAATCAGATGATAAAAGTATTGATCTGGAAAATGAAATTAGAATGTCAGCCCGCAAAAGAAAAAAACCTGATAGATATGGACAAATAAATACCAATTATATTTATGTTAATGTAGTTAGTGCAGATAGCCCTGCGACTTATGAAGAGGCATTAAAAAGTAATGATTATGATTTATGGAAAGAAGCAATGGATCGGGAAATGAGTTGTTTGGAAAAAAATAAGACCTGGTCAGAAAGTAGAAAACCCTAAAAATAAAAGGGTCTTAGATTTGAAATGGGTTTTCACCAATAAATGTGACAACCGAAAGAAGGCGAGATTAGTAGTTCGCGGTTTTCAACAAAAGGAAGTATTGGAGGACATATACTCTCCGGTAGCCAGAATACAAACACTTAAGTTACTGTTATCTTATTGTTGTCAAAACGGTTTACTGATTATACAAATGGATGTCGAAACGGCGTTCCTAAACGGTATTGTAAAGTCAGAAGTATTCGTGAAACAACCGATAGGTTACGATGACAAAAGCGGTAAAGTGTGCAAATTAAACAAGGCGCTGTACGGGTTGCGAGAAAGCCCACGGGCTTGGTATGAATGTTTCGACGAATACATAAAAAAGTTAGGATTCCAGAGAAGTGCGAGCGATTACTGTTTGTATATAAAACAAGAGAATGAAGAAACAATATACCTAATTCTTTTTGTAGATGATTTATTAATATGTGGAAAAAAAATCAAAAAAATCAACGAGGTTAAAACCAAATTGAAATGTAAATTTGCGATGAAAGACCTAGGTGAAGTAAAGACTTACTTAGGGATTAACATTGAATACGATTATGAGAATGGAGGAGATGAAACTAGACCAAAGCGAATACATAGAGTCTTTAGCGAAGAAATATAACATTGTAAATAGCAAGTTATACCGTACACCGATGGAACAAAGCTTAAGCTTGAAACCCGCGCAGTCAGCGTCAAATGACATTAAGTATAGAAATCTCATTGGAGCTTTACTATATATTAATACAGGAACAAGACTAGACATTAGCTATAGTGTAAATTATTTGAGTCGCTTCCAAAACGTTTATGATGAGACTCACTACAAGTATGCATTAAGAATATTAAAATACTTATATTTCACAAGAGATCTACAATTAACGTACAAGAGGAGCTTAAAGGCTGAAATTGTAGATTGTTTTGTCGACGCTGACTGGGCGGGAGATATAGTAGATAGAAAATCTACTACGGGTTATCTTGTAAGAGTCTTTGGAAATGTAATATATTGGAAAACAAAAAAACAAGGCAGTGTGGCAAAGTCATCAACAGCCGCCGAATATGTTGCTTTGTCAGAAGCAGTAAGCGAAATAAAAGTTATAAAGAATTTATTGGAAGATTTCAAAATTAAGATTGAAAAACCAATCAAAATCTATGAAGATAACTCTGGAGCCATTGCGATATCAAAATTTGGAAATTTAACCAAACATTCTAAGTATATTGAAGTACATTATCATTTTATAAACGAATGCTACGAGAATAAAGAAATTGATATAATAAAGGTAGATTCAGAAAATAATGTAGCAGATATCCTAACAAAGGCTCTAGGGAGAAATAAGTTTGAAAAGTTTAGATCACTTTTGAATATAATTTGAATTTTCTTTTTTGAAAATATAGTTAAAAGGAAAACTTGTTTGTTTTAAAAAATTAAGAAGATGAGGTACGATTTATGTAACCACTAGGATAATATAAGTTTAAGCGAGATAAATGTGTAGCAACAAAATTAAGGAAATGTGTTGAGAAATAAGTAATTTTGTTTGCGTACATCTGTTTTCGGCGTGATAGAAGCGTGTGCGTATGTGCGAGCGTG